TTATTGTTTAATTTTAAAAACATCATAAATCATTTTTAGAAATTACATTAGTCAGACTCTTCAGCCCACACCTTTAAAGTGTTGACGGAAAGGTCTGACATGTATGTAACACGTATCTAGCCTCATGTAACATATTCCCTGTGATCCATCATTATTTTCCAAAATTGACTTATAGTGTCTCTAAAATGACCCTTTCAATTGTTAAGTCAATGATATTAGAAACCAATAGTTTAAATGTGACATCTAATGTAATTCATAGTCAAAAATAATTTATTTAAAACATTTTCTTAAATTAACTTTAAAATGAACCTTTTTTTCTGCAAACAACAAATTGGGTCAGAGTCAAGAAGTTTTATTTTTGTTAATTTTTATTGCTAAATTTTAAAGGACAACAAAAATATTTCATTGAGTTATTTCATCATATAATTCGATTAAAATTAGTTAATTGAATAAACAATAGTTAATTAAATAAAAATAATTAATTGAATAAGCAATAGAATAATCAAGTTGACAATATTAGTAATTTGAATTAAATTATAACAAATTAATTTAAAAATTTACCTTTTAATATAACTTGTATGAATAGTAGATATGCATTTCTTTAAATTGATCTGTTTTTGAGTTTGTTTATGAGCTATTTTTTAATTGCTTTTTTAATTGTAAACAGAGCAATTTGAGTAAACAGAGATTTGGAAGTGAACAGATTAAAATCAATACAACACTTAAATATATTACGAGAGAGTACAATGTAAAATAGTTTTTATACAGCAATCTAAAAATAAGTTTATAGATTTTATTAAGTTGTATATTATTATCAAAGTTTTGCTAGCTCAATACAGTAGCTCAATATTAAGGTTGAACTTATAAAATTTTCATTTACATTGACCTACTATTAACTGCTAATAAAATGGCTGCTATCAACTAATAAACTATTGATAATAAAGTGACTGCTATCGCTCTTTTGCTTTTTGCTCTTTTAAATGACAGTTTAATAAAAATTACTGTCACAATAAAAGCTGATTATGTCATCAATTTCTTCACTTAAACAAAATTTTAAATAATTAAATAAAGAAAAAAAAATGAAACTATAATACTTTTAACGAAGACATTTTTTAATCAAATTTTAGAAAAAATGTTTAAACATCTCACCTGTATACTAATCCTTCCATGTTTGTTTTAAGAAAAACCATTCTAAATAAAAAAAACTTTATAATGAAAAGTTGTCAACAAAAGAAAAGAGCCTCAAAAAATGACTTTATCACAATTATTTAGGTAACAAAATTATTTATTAAGAGAGTTAAAGTGATAATAATGTAGATTAAACAAGAGCTGCAGTTATTGATTAAATAATATATTATTAAAATTATATAGATCACTGCATAACATTAAGACCAACAGGTTAAACGTCTCCCAATTTTATTTCATATAATTGTAGATGCTTAAATAGTAAATGCTGCTTAAATAATTTTTTTTGTATAAAAAATGTTTAAAGTTTATCAGAAGTATTAAAAAACTCATTTTTGTATACCCTATTTACCCTCTAAAAATAAAAAAGTTACCCCCCTTTAAACTTATAATAACTCCTTAAAAGAAAAA